TCTGTGAGTTCGAGGCCAGCCTGGGCTACCAAGTGAGCTCCAGGAAAGGCGCAAAGCTACACAGAGAAACCCTGTCTCGAAAAAAACCAAAAAAAATTGTAATATATAATTAAGAAATACAGATTAATAGTCATATATCACAAACTTATAGTCATGTTAGGTATGTTTTCAAGGCCATACAGAACTATATTTCAGATAGATAGGCAATCTTCAAACACGTTAAAGACCTACAGAATATGGCATTTAAAATGTTTTAAGAACTTAGACTTTTCTCAACAGTGAGACATGTCTGCTCCTGTCATCACCAATTACTTCCAAAGAGGATGATGGACATCAAAGAAACTACATATGGAGCTTGTTTTCTTTATGGCAAAAGCTAGACATGTGGGTAAAGAAAGTGCCCTTGCCTTGACTGATGACAGTATGCTGTACAAATTGGACAAGACAAGGAGGGACAGTCCTTCAAAAATCCTGCTTCACAGATAAGTCTGTCAGATACACTTGGCCTGTAGGCCAAAGATGGATGTTCTAGTGTTGCAAAAGAACTTTGGGTGACTGTCCAGGCAGCCTGATGTCTCTGTCATTAGGTAACATTAATCTTTCTGGAGTCTATGATGGAGTTGAAGACTAGATAGTTAATGCAGGAAAAAGGGGATGGCTAAAGAAACCCACTCTGACCCTGGATCCAACTAGGGAAAGTTGGCTCAGATAAGGCTAGTGAAAGAAACACAGCTTGGCTCTAATCAAAGCCATCTCTGCCCCTGGCCAACTGACTTGTGAAACCAACTAATCACAGAGCAGGACAGTAGAACCCAGGCCTCAATTCAACCCCTGGTTGACTCCACCACCAAGACATCCTATATTAACTGCTCTGGGTGGTCAGTTTAAGAAAGAGCTGTTCTCTCCACCCTAGTAGAGGCAGCTACTCTCCTGGACTACTCCTTTCCAAATAAATCTCTTTCTTAAAATAGTTTTGAGTGTGAAGATCTTCATTCACTGCCATAGAGAAGATCCTTGCTGAGACATCCCTCAGTGGACAAAGCAAGGAGGAGCTGAACAGAAGATCCTTGTTGAGATGTCCCTCAGTGAACAGAGCAAGAAAAAGCCAAAAAATTAACACTATTCTCCAGAGCTGGAGGGGATTGCAACATTTCTGCAATTTCTTAGGCCAGAGAAGCAGAGCTCTGCTAGGAGAAACCCCCTTAAGTGGGGGCTGAGCAAAGCCCAGGTGTAGCACCTCTCCAGGAGAGGAACAGGATTGCTATATCCTGCAGGGAGACCATCCCCCATCACACCAGGTATACCTTGACTTTCCCGAAGAGTCAGGATACCCTTCCCTGCTGAAGCAGTTCCAGGCCTGACTGTCCTGAGCAGTCAGAAAAACTTTCCTTCCGAGGTATCCAGGATACCTCACCCTCCAGGGTTCAGCTGTCTCTTTGCAGCTCCAGCCATCAGAGCTGTCCTAAGCAGCTCCAGGTGTTGCCTGACTCCCCAAGTAGTCAGGATATCTTTCCCCAGAGTTGCAAAACTCACATTTTAGTGCCAAAACCTGGGACCAAACCCACAGAGTTGCAACAAATTTACTTACAGTTAAAGTTTTCTTTAGTTATAATAAAAGATAAATTAAATGCAAAACTTTAGACTCACCAAGGTAAGAAATATTTTCTCTAATTTTGTCAAATGCAAATGGATTGGATATTATTACTATAATTCTTACTTGATAACTTTTTGTTTTACTATATTAAGGTTAAAACCTTCCTTTTAATTAAACAAAAAAGGGGAAATGCTGTGGGATAATGCTCTTATATACTGTAAAGGTTTGTCACTCGATTTTGTTTAATAAAATGCTTATTGGCCAGTAGCCAGGCAGGAAGTATAGGCGAGGTCAACAAGCTAAGAATGCTGGGAAGAGGAAGGGTGGAGTCAGGATTCACAAGCCAGACACAGAGGAAGCAAGATGAGAATGTCGAACTGAGAAAAGGTACCAAGCCACGTGGCTAAACATAGATAAGAATTATGGGTTAATTTAAGTGTAAGAGCTAGTCAGTAATAAGCCTGAGGTAATGGCCAAGCAGTTATAATTAATATAAGCTTCTGTGTGGATTTGGGAAGTGGCTGCTGAGTATTTGGGAGTTGTTGGCAGAACAGAATCTTCTACTACTATCTGTTGGTTTTTTGAGACAGGATCTCATGCAGCCCCAGCTGGTCTCAAGCTCATTACTCATGCAGGGATACCACTACTCCAGAGCTAATTAGTTTTCTCAAACAAGACTTTAGTTTTTCCTATGTATAAGAGCCAGTTAACCACTCTCCCAGGAGGTCCATTGGCACTTATTTCTCTCCGGGTTTGGATGGTGACAGCGGATCTTTTCCTCATTCTTTGCTTTTCATGTTATTCTTGCAGGGGATCCATGTGTGGTTCCTAGAACTCCCAGGGTGGCTCTCAGCCATCTGCAATCATCAACTTCCAAGAGATCTGACGCCTCCTCTGACCTCTGAGGGCTCCTGTGTGTACATGGTGCACAGACATCCGCTCAGCACACACATATACACATAAATTCAATTTAAAACAAAGGTGAGTGTTTGTATTTTACTGTGTGTAAAACATACCAAAAAACTATTCTGGTGCCAGGTAGTGGTGGCGTTACACGCCTTTAATCCCAGCACTCAGGAGGCAGAGGCAAGTGGATCTCTGTGAGTTCCAGGACAGCCGAGGCTGATACGCCGAGAAACCCTATCTCAAAAAACAAAACAATAAAACAAGAACAAACCTGTTCTAGTTAGTTTGTTGTCAACTTGACATGAGCTAGAGTCATCTGGGTAGAGGGACCCTCAACTGAGAGAATGCCTCCATCATATTAGCCTGTCAGCAAGTCTGTCAGGCATTTCCTTGATTAATGATTCATGTGGGGGGCATATAGCCACTGAGCACAGTGCCACTGATGAGCATGTGGTCCTGGGTTCTATAAGAAAGTGGGCTGAGCAAGTCATGAGGAGCAAGCCAGTGAACAGCACTCCTCCATGGCCTCTGCATCAGCTCCTGCCACCAGGTTCCTATCCTGTGTTCTCGCCTAACTTCCTTCACAGATGGACTGTCATCTGGAAGTATAAGATAAAACGAAACCTTTCCTCCCTAAATTACTTTTGGTCCTGGTGTTTATCGAAACGGGTAGGAAACTAGGACAAAACTAGTACTCAAAACAGATGTAACTGTGGCTCCGGAAACTTTCAAACAATTGTCGTGTCCTTTCAGGGGTGGGGAACGGTTCAGCCACTCAAGTCCTTGCTGCACAAGCGTGAGGAACTGAGTCTGACCCTCAGCACTCCTGTGAAAATACCAGGTGTGGTAGTACCCCGTGACACTCCCGGAGCTGGGGAGGACACTGGAGGATCCTTAGGGATGTTGACCAGCATCCCAGTCTAACTGTGAGCTCCAGGGCAGTGAGAGATTGGATCTCAAAGGAGATGGACAACGTTCCTGGTAACACTCAAGGTTGTCCTCTGCCCTTCACTCACATCACACACACTTAAACATGAGCACACACAAATTTTAAAAGACTCATCTCGATACCACACATAAAACACTATAATTACATCTATATCAGTGTATGATTTATCTATATTGGCCAAACTTACAATGGAAAAACACCCTTTTTTGATAAAGATTGATTTACTTTTATGTGTGTGTTTTGCCTGCATCTGTTTGTGCACCACATGTGTGCCCTGTACTCTGAGGGCAGAAGACGGTTCCTGGAACTGTAGTTATGGAGTTACAAGCTGTGAGCTGCCGTGTGGGTGCTGAGAACTGAACTGGATTCTCTGTACGAGCAGCCAGATTTCTTAACTGCTGATCCATTTGTGGTTATGGCGCTGGGGACAGCACCCCAGGACCTTGCACAAGTGAGACAGTCACCCTGCCACTGACCCACAGGTAACACACTTCCTTGTCAAGGCTGTAGTGCAGCAGGTACAACTGGAGCTAGCGACAGAAACTGTGCCTGGCTTGGCTTTTCTTCAGTGTTAGAAAAACGGAACCCCAGGTCGTGAACTTGCTTGGTAAGCATTCTGTCTACCACCAAAGCATGTCTGCAACCTTCCAAGATCATTAAGTGAGAAGCGCAAAGTGCAAGAGTATCTGTGATTGGTAAGAAAAAAAAGACAAATACCCCAGCGCTCTGGAGGCTGAGGCAGGAGCAATGTGGAGAGTTCAAGGCCTGCTTGGTCTACATAGCAGGTTCCGAGTCAGCCAGAGCTATTTTTGTTCATTTTGAGACAGGGTTTCACTGTGTAGTCCTGATTGTCCTGGATCTTTCTCTGTAGACCAGGCTGGCCTTGAACTCAGAGATTCACCTGCCTCTGCCTCCCGAGTGCTGGGATTAAAGGCGTGAGCCACCACTGCCCGGCCTTGTTCTTAAATTTTTAAAAGATGTGTTTTATCTTATTGCATAAGTGCTTTGCTAACATTTGTGTCTATGCACCCCCTGAGCAGTGCTTCAGATTCCCTAGAGCTGGAGTTACAGTGGCTTCTGGGACCGGAACCAGGAGCCTCTGCAAGAATAAGTACTCTCAACCACTGAGCATCTCTCTAGCCTCCTACCTTAGCTTTTTGAGATAGTGTCTCTCACTGAACCTGCAGGTAACCAGTTCATTTAGACAAGCTGGCCCTGGAGTCTTAACTGTCTCCTTTCCCCAGCCCTGGGATTACAGGTACCAGCTACTGGCTTTCCCGTGGGTGCTGGGCGTCTGGACTCAGGGCCTCATACTTACACAACAGGCACTTTAACCCACTGATCCATGCCCCCGGACCTGTCCACCCTCTTTAATCAAGGTTCAGTGAAGTATGAAGTGCACATTTATCTTGTGTCAACACACGAATTTGGCAAGAGGGCTCTGAAAGTGGAAGCCACTGGCGTAATCGTGCCAGCGGCGATGGTACTAACACTGGTGAGGTCCGCCACGGGAGAGTAATGCGACTGATTTCACAACTCCTCAGTTTAGCAGCCCCACTTAAAGGGCACCAAGCATCTCGGGAGGAACAAGCACACTGAGGTTGCCTGGAGGCCATGGCACCCAGCAGTGAGCCATTCTGGGGTAGGATGAGACATGTGTTGCTGCTTGAGACAAGGTCTTGCTATGAGGCCTAAGTAGCAGACATTCTGTATCCTTCTGTCTCGGTCTCCATCATGCTGAGATTAGAGGCAGGTGACATTGCACTCTGCTTAAGCAGTGCTGTTTTAACGGGTCCTAAATGACAGTCCAGAACGAAGATTAACATTACTCAAAAAACCCATAAATACCCTTCACTCAACCGACCAGATTTAAACAGAATACAACCAGGTTGTTGACTCACTGTAGCTACACTGAGTTCATTAAGTGAGAAACGATCACTTCTCCCGGTTTCTTTCTCTCTTTCCTTTCTTCGAAAATACATAAATGACACACACTCTGACCATCCAAACTGTATAACTCAGTCGTTGTTAGTATACTCATCACATTTTACATCTTCATTACTTCAAAAAGAACCCCAGGAATTGTTCTGATAGACCATGTGCTTTTCTTTGTAAAGTTTAGTTAATTCCTTTTTTGATAATTTCATAGATTCATCTACTGTATTTTGATCACATTCACTCTTACCTTCTCTTGTGCCTCTTCCCCACTGTCTGAAGCTCTTCATCTAGTCTCCCTTCTACGTTCATGTCTTGTGTATGTGTTTATGCAAGTTTATATGAGACCCATTGTGTTTAATTAGAACTGCTTATGTATTGGTGGAAAATTACTTACCAGGACATTGACAGCTTACCTGCAAGAAATGTCTCCCCCTCACTTAGCAACTACTAAGTGCCAATAGCTCCTCAGGGAGGCATGGGCCTCATGAGCCTCTTCTGTATCCACGATGGTGTTGACAGATGCAATTTCATCTGAGTCTTGGGCAGGTGACCACAGACAACCTGGAGCTCTGAGTTCAAAAATCATACCTGTTCCAAAGACAGCCTTCCTCCCTGTCCTCTGGCTTGCTCACCTTCCACAGTGTTCTCTGAACCTTGGAGGGGGTGATATAGGTGTCCCTTTTAGGGCTGATCACTAAACAGCCACTCAGTCTCAGCATTTGGATCAGTTATGAGTCTCTGCAGTGTCCACAAACCACTGCAAATGAGCCTTCTCCTCCTAACACCAAGAGAAGCACCACCCTGTGAGCATGAACATAAATACAAAGTAGTTTGATGGGTACAATATGCATGCCTATGGAATAGAACAACAGCAGTAGCTTCCACGGTAGGGCCTATGATGTCTCTGGCTACAGAATTCTAACTAGGTTTACAGTACCAAGCATAAATTCCCTCCTCTGGAACGTGTCTCAAGTTTAATCCAAAAGCAGAGCTGGGCGGTGGTGGCGCACGCCTTTAATCCCAGCACTCGGGAGGCAGAGGCAGGCGGATCTCTGTGAGTTCGAGGCCAGCCT